AACAAGCAATCAAAACCTAAGGCATAAAATACAGATATATGGAACGAGTTGCTGAATTCTAGGTGAACATGGAATATGATAGGAAGACAAATCTCAAGAGATATCTTGGCATTGCCTTAATTGGAGAACTAATTTCTTATGACAGTCAAGTTAAAAAATGGTCTTCTGAGTAATCTCCATACTTTTATTTTTATCATATGCTTCTCGTATTTTTATTACTCAAATGTTTTCACATGATTTCATTTTTGGTCAAATATTGAGTGATGGCAGAGACAAACAGATTTTGAGGTTTAAAAGACTAAGGAAGGCTATAAACATTTTCCAGGGTTAAAGCTGAAATAATGTGTCCTTCTGGGAAGATTCTAGATTAAAACATTGCAGAGAAGAAACATCAAGAGTATATACTTTGAACTGTTTAAACATCATATTACTAATTCATTACTGAAACTTAATCATATAAAAAGGAGAAAATAAAAAAAGTGATATACTTGAGAAATCAAATATTAACAAGTTATAGTAATTTATAATGAGAATGATAGTGAAATTAGCTAAAATATATCAAATTTTACTGGTTTATACCACAAGCAGGCAAATACACTTTTAAATATCTAGTTTAATATCTAGTTTAGACATCAAGATGACTTCTTTGTTAAAAAAGACTCTATAGAGAAGTCACTGAAAATTAGAACTTTTGATGAAAGACATAATAGCTATTATTAATTTGTAAAAATGGGAGTACATTATAGAGGTATCATTTTCTTTCTTTTAATTAAGGATGATTTAAACTTTGATTCCTCCAGAAAACTAGTGTATACACACTGTCCAAATTGGCACGCCTGGGGCGCCTGGGTGGCTCAGTCGGTTAAGCCTCCGACTTCAGGTCAGGTCATGATCTCACGTTCATGGGTTCCAGCACCGCATCGAGCCCTGTGCTGACATCTAGCTCAGAGCCTGGAGCCTGCTTCAGATTCTGTCTCCCTCTCTCTCTGCCCCTCCCCTGCTCACGCATGCTCTCTCTCTCTCTCTCTCAGAAATAAATTTTTTAAAAAACGATTTTATAAAATCCCACAAATTGGCATGCCAAAAGAAATCCAAAATATAATGTATTTACTTCCTTCCATATCCGCCCACCTCACTTGTCTAAGCCTCTGCTAACTAGAACTTCCTAATGTGTCTCTGCATTTACACCCTGACTCTTATCTAAATTTTAAGCCGTTTTTTAAAATGTGCAAATGGCTAAGTTTAGAGGAAAAGACTGACTCTTACACTTTGTCAGTCAAACCATTCACTATTGGTCCTTTTCCTTCTTAATTATCATCCCAAATCATTAGCTCTCCTTTTTTGGTAAGTCTTCTGTATAAACAACAAAAATATAATCAACTGATAACTTTTTGTTGAACAAATATAAACCTTAGATACAGAAATAAATTAGAGGCACTGAAGATATAGGGGAGAGATTATTTTATGACCAATCTCATTATCTCTATTCTTTACTTTTTTAATCCTCAAGTTAGTTAACATACAGTGTAGTCTTAGCTTCAGGAGTAGAACCTAGGATTCATCTCTTGCATGTGACATCTAGTGCGCAACCCAAAGAATGTCCTCTTTAGTGCCTGTCACCCATTTAGCCCACCCAAATATCCTCTTTTAACAAGGAAAAATAGTATTATTTTTTCTTCTAAAACTAAGCCACCTAGAAATATTAGTTTTAATCATTAAAAGATAGGTAATATTAATATATAATATGTTGATTTGAGGAATTATATATGTAGTACTCTTTACTGGCATTACATTTCTTTATATCTAACACGTTTATTTAAATAATAAAATTGTTTCCAAATGGCTGTGTAGGAAGTCTACATAAAGAATTGACAGATTTTTAGGGCAATTATAATTGCTTATGATTCAAGAAGTTTAGTAAACCGTAATACTTCAAATGACAATTATAATTTTTATTATAAAAGAAAATTGGCAACTTTGTTTTCTTCACAACCACAATAGATTGTTTTTGTTATTATTATTATTTTTTTTTTAGTCTTCCCAAGGGTATACACACCTGTTCTCTTGCTGACAACTCTAATTTTTAAAACTGCAAGTTTGAGAACCTGGGCTTTTATAAACACATAAAGATAAATGCCATCCCATGAAACTCTTAAAAAGCTCTTTTGTAATTGTTTAAACTGTGGTTATGTATGTGTGTGCATGTGTAAGAGAAAAAGAGAGAGATAAAGAGATGGAGAGAAAAAGAGAAAAAAGTAAGAAAAACAAGGTGTCATCAAGCTGTGTTGGGATTTTTGAAGGAAAATAGATAAAAATAGAAATGGTGGTGTCATCACATATGTGAGGTTCCAAGTCTAGTGGTATACCTCAATTCCTTGGTTATGAACCGTTGGGCTCCAAAACTCTTGAGATATTGAGCATGGGTGTTAGCCATTTATTACAATTAAATAACATTGGATTAGATTGATAAAACTTCTCATATTTATGTTTATTAGTTCCATATTACAGTAAGCCTTAGAGATATAGATATTGACAGGATTTGTTGAGACCCCATCGGTCCCAAAGTTCCAACTCTTGGTTTCAGCTCAGGTTGTAATCTCATGGTTCATGAGATTGAGTTTAGCATCAGGCTCTGCCCATCAACACAGAGCCTGCTTGGAATTCTCTCCCTCTCTCTCTGTCTTTCCCTCCCTTCATGCTCTCTCCTCTCCCTCTCTCTATCTCTCAACATAAACAAACAAACAAACAAACAAACTAAAATAACCACTAAAATAAAGAATTAGACGGGCATCTGGGTGGCTCAATTGGTTACGTGTCAAACTTCTGTTCAGGTCATGATCTCATGGTTCGTAGGTTTGAGGCTCCTGTTGGGCTCTGTGCTGACAGCTCCGAGCCTGGAGCCTACTTTAGATTCTATGTCTCCCTCTCTCTCTGCTGCTCCCTCACTCTCACTCTCTTCTTCTCCTTCAAAAAATAAAGAAACGTTAAAAAAATTAGAAAAAAAAATTATTATATTAATCTATTTTAGGAACTCTGTTCTTCAGTTAGACCTCTTCTTCCTAATACTATACTCTCTCATGAATTAATTTTTTCCTTCCTTTCCATTTTACTCCTTCAACTTCTTCCTTTATGACAAGATATTCATTTACAACCTACTATAAGACATATACTGTATTAGGGGAGGCTGGGTGGCTCAGTCGGTTAAGCATCTGACTTCAGCTCAGGTCATCTCACAGTTTGTGAGTTTGAGCCCTGCATCAAGCTTTGTGCTGATAGCTCAGAGCCTGGAGCCTGCTTCAGATTCTGTCTCCCTAACTCTGTCTCTCCCCAGCTTGCACTTTCTCTCTCTGTCTCTCTCTGTCTCTCTCTGTCTCTCTCAAAAATGTGTAAAAAAATTTTTAGGCATTAAAAAAGAGACACATACTGTATTAAAATCTGAGAGTAGAGAACAGAAGACACAATCTGAGCCTTTCAGGGGCTCCTATTCAAACTATCAATGGAGATCAAGATTGATAAATTAATCCCAGGCTAAGATGGTTATTTTTTAAATTTTTTAAATGTTTTTTTATTTATTTCTGAGAGAGAGAGGGAGACAGCATGAGCAGGGGAGGGTTAGAGAGAGGGAGACACAGAATCTGAAACAAGCTCCAGACTCTGAGCTGGCTGTCAGCACAGAGCCCGACATGGGGCTCAAATCCATGAACCCTGAGATCATGCCCTGAGCCGAAGTCAGACGCTTAACCAACTGAGCCACCCAGGTGCCCCTAAGATGGTTATTTTTACATGTCAAATTGGGTGGATCACAGGATGCCCAGATATTTAGCTGAACATTTTTTCTGAGTGTGACTGTGAGGGTGTTTCTGGATGAAAGTGGAATTTGAATTGGTGGACTCAGTAGAAGAAGTTTGCCCTATCCAAAGTGGATGGGCATCACCCAATCTGCAGAAGGACTGAGTAGAATAAGGGACAGAGGAAGAAGAATTTGATTTTTCCTGCCTAACTATTTGAGCTGGGATGTTGATGTTCTGCCATCAGTGTTCCTGGTTCTCAAGCCTTCAGACTTACTGAATTATACCATCAACTTTCCTGGGTTGCCAGCTTAAAGAAAGTAGATTGTGAGAGTTCTCATTTTCCAGAATTGCATGAGCCAATTCCCTATAATGAATATCTTCATCACATCACAAGTTATATATCTATATCTATGTCATGTACCTATCTATCTATCTATCTATCTATCTATCTATCTATCATCTATCTATCATCTATATCTATCTATATCTATCTATATCTATCTAGCTAGATATCTATAGCTATCTAGCTATATCTATATCTATATCTATATCTATCTATATCTATCTATCTATCTATAGCTATCTAGCTAAATCTATATCTATCTATCTATCTATCTATCTATCTCATCTAGATAGCTAGATAGCTATCTATCTATATCATCTATATCTATCATCTTTCCTATTGGTTGTGCTTCTCTGGACAAACTTGCCTAATAGGCTAATGTTCAAAAATTATTGAACTAAGTACATGACCAATTATAGCATACCTTATAAATTTTTGTAGTTTTGGTTATACTTAAAAGACCATGTGTAATGATGAGGAACCAGTTTATGGCCTATGTATAAAAGGTATCTCATGAGAAGAGCCTGTGTCATCCAGACTAGAGATAGGGAGAAATGTGTGTATTTACTGCAAAAAATGATTCCAGCTCTCTTTCCTAACCATCTAGTCCCTCTGATTTCTGAGTAATAAAATTTGATTCATAATAGAAGGTCAGTGATTATTAATGTGACAAAACTCAAAACTTTAGCAAGTAGTATGAGTCAAACATTGTTCTCCACTGAAAACTCTTTCCAACATGAAAATTGTCTATCAAAAATAATCAATATACTTGGCATTTTAGGAGAAATGTCGGGAATTTCTTTACCTCAATCCTTAAAAACTTTACCTATGGCTTAGGTCAGTTTCCCAAAAGAGTTGGAGAGATATTTGTGTTCAAGTTATTTATTGGGGAAGTGCTCTCAAGAAAAGAAAAGTTGCATAGAGCAGGAGAAAAAATCCAACAAGCATGTGTTTGCACCCACACACCAGCTTCAATCTGATCCCATGAGGTAACACTGGATCAGGAATTGCACAATAGAGCTGTTTTCTCCTTGAGGTAAGGGGCTGGAATTGTAACCTGTTTTTCAGTCTTTGGTCTTGATCACTCCAGTATGGGAAGGGGCAGAGCATACTCTTCTGTTAGGCAGATCCTCTCTGAAGGAAGGCATTGACCTGGAGAAGAAACAACTATGAGCCATTATCAGGCAATATTCACTGCATATGGAGGAGGAAAGCATCTGCTGATAAGAAGATATAAAGAAGATCTGGGCAAAGTAACAATGGCATCCACCAAGTTACTTTTTCAAACTGATGAATATTTCTTTAAGATCACATTTTCCCAGCATCCCAAGTTGATTTTATTGCAAGCAAACAAGAGTTTCAAGTGGGACTCAATATAGGAAGAGAACCAGAAGGGAGAAGAGGACATTGGGAGATAGGAGCTTCAACATAGGAACTGAACTTAGAGCAATAGCAAATCAAAGACTGCTTATTTCTAACTTCCACTTTAAGTCATTTCGAGAATGAAAATTTTAAATGTACATGAATCACGTTGACTCCATAACTCTTTTCTAACTGGCTGAGAAAATTTAGCGTGTGGATTTTGAACATACTTACTACTTCCAAAAATGAATACTAATAGATTTCTTCTCAAGTATAATTTGTAAAGAACTATGAAAATGTAAAAATGTACATAGATATACTAGAGTTTGATAGAAAGGTTGCACATTAAGCTCAATGACACTCTTACACATAGGAAATAACAAAATATATTTTTATAAATATTTGTTAAAATGTGTATTTATATATATTTGAGTAGACAAGTTCATGCTTCCTTCATAAATAATGATTCCTTGTTTCCATTCTTCCTCCCTCCCTTCCTTTTTTTTTCTTCCCCTTTCTTTCTTCCTTTCAATTTTTATTACAGATTCTTTTCAATAGTCATATTCAACCATAATCATTCCACAATTTTTGAGCATATTCTATATGCAATGCCCTATGTTAAAGGCTGAAGGTACAGGCATTTGGGACAACTCCATGACTAAGGGAATTTAAACATCTAACCAAGGAAAGAAACGTGTACAATATATCTTACTATCAGGTAGGTATATGTGAAATAAAATGTAGTCACAAAGTAAAAAATAATACTAGGCTAGAGGAGTTGGTAAAAATTTGGTAGATGAGATAATATTTAAGCTAACCTTGAATAATAAGTTAGGCTTTTCCAGATAAAGATGTAGATGAATATCTTATAGCCAATAGTCAATTGTGCTTGGAACATATTCAGTTAACTATTTAAATTCTGCTTTCCATTTCCATAGAAAATGAACATACCCGTTTATTTTCTTTTCCTTTAGTTTTCTCATCACCATTAACATATATGATTGTGAATGTTAATGTTCACTTGGATTTTGAGAAGATAAATCAAGATACATAAGATGAACAAAATAAAAATAAACAACATTAAAATAAATAAACTAAAAATTGAATTTTAATCATAAATATTCCCATAGTCCAGTGTAAAAGGGGGAAAGTGGTTAAAACCTTCCTATAAGATCTTACCATGTTGTCTTCAACTTTAAAAGTTTGCTTTTCATTTGGTGGCTTGCTCTTCTTCCTCCTCCTCTGAGAGAATATATTTTCCAATCTTCCTTCTTCCTCTAATTCCTTTTAGCCATTATCATAGATTTGATCACTCTATCTGGACAAGAAAGACACAGAATTTAGTATTTTTCAACATTACATATCCAAAATTCCTTGTAACAGAACAGTGGAAGATGGGCTTTGGCATTCCAAGCAAGGTTACCCTGGGATCTCTCTACCACAATGAAAAAAGGACATATCATTTTTCTGGCTTTTTGCACTATGTGCATAACTCTTCATACATTCGACATATACCATTCTGAGTATCACTGCTAATTTTCAGACACAATACAGTTTATACACATGTTATTTTTAAAAAAAAGTTTTCAGGGCACATGGATGGCTCAGTTGGTTACACATCCAAATCTTGGTTTCAGCTCAGGTTATGATCTCACAGTTCATGGGTTCAAGCCCCATTTCAGGCTCTGAGCTGACAGCTTGGGATTCTCTCTCTTTCCCTCCCTTGCTCACTTGCTCTCTCTCTCGCTCGCTCTCTCTCTCTCAAAAATGAATGAATAAACTTGAAGAAACATTTCCATGAATGTATAATCTTCAGAGATTACAAAGCTCAAAATTGGAATAATGAATATTTTTTTAGAATAGCTTTATCTACCCTTTCCTTGCTTCTAGACAAGAGCATGAACCATTTGGCTGCATGAGAAACAAGACCCAAAACTTTGCTTTGTCATCTGATTAAAACATATTCTCCTGGTGACCATGTTTAGGTTCACAAAGTACTTGTAGAAGTAAAGGAAGTTCAGATGTTGTTCCTTAAGGACAAGCCAGCTTACCTTCTTTGTCAGGTTACGTCATATCTTCCCTCTTCCAGGCACCCTCCTTCTCCCCTAGCTTGGAAGCCAAAAGGATTTGTAGTTTCACTGTCCAGATTCAAAATCCAGGGAGAATAAAGTGCATGTGTGAAATGTTAGGGTTTTAGATTTTACATTAATTGAATACATTTCATTGTAACTGGGGTTTTTTTTTTTTTTTTTTTTTTTGGACTTTTCTAAATAGTTTCCAAATAAATACTTTTTGGTAATGAACCCTGGAATAGCATTTTATCAGTATATCTATTGCACGCTGTGAGGGTGCCACTTTCATAGACCTCAGTATAAATAGTGCCTCTTGAAGTTTCTGTATTATATTTATGTAATCACTTATTTAAAAATATTCAGGTAGTTAAAATGTATGTATAAACATATAAATATGTACCACTGGCAAAATTCCTGGGGATATTTGCTTGACATTAACCATTATAATCTTCCAGATTTTATTTCAGTTTTTGCTGTTTAATTTGTGTTATGAAACTCCAAATATTTTATAAAAGCATTGAACACGACCCTTATTTTAGCAGTTTTCAATATTTAAAAAATAACTGGCATAATATGTTAAAGCTAAAAATCTGCTTTAAAATCTCGTTTGTTTGCTGCCAAAAATAATAGCAGATATGAAATGCGTTGGAGTTGTACTGGAAAAGATCAAGATATTCAGTGCAAACAATAATTAAGGGCAGATCATTGCACAAAATTGTGTAATATTGAAATTTTAAAATTGCATATTAGGGCATGAGATACTTGGCAGAAACTGTGTTCTATTAATTTTCATTTAGATCAATTTTCATTTAGATCAGGCAACAGTCAATAGATTTTTCTGGTGTATTTCCCCATTTGGCAAATCCAGAGTTTACTTTTTTAATCTCCAGTGTGGCTTTTATTTTTAACCTTCCTTTGAGTCTTATGGTAGCTCATGGGTAGAGAGAGGGCTTATATTTAGGTAGTCAAGCACACACAGAACTTGCAGTAGACATGAGTAGTACATAAGAAGATAGGCCAAGGAAAAACACTTTTTTCTGAGAATAAGAATGGAGGAAGTAGATAGGGAAGAAATATTATAGACCTAAAGGAATTGGGACATGTTGAAAAGAGTCAAAGCATTGACCAAACATGGGAGCATAGGATATGTGGGGAAAAAGTATCAAGTGAATGAAATTCGTTTCTAAGGTAGGAGCTAAATACAAAGCTAAATAAGAAATAATATGAAAGAATCAGTATATAAATATGAAGTTAATTGTAGAAGAGTTTTGATTTAGACTTCAGCCCTTGAGTCGTTATTTATAGTCACTTCAAATGTGAAAGTGAGAGAATGAACACAAATTTAAAGTATCTAAGAATCACCCACAGCTAATATCATCCTCAATGGGGAAAAACTGAGAGCTTTTCCCACACCACTGTTATTTTACATAGTGCTGGAAGTCCTAGCCACAGCAATGAGACAACACAAAGAAATAAATGGCATTCAAATAAAACAGGAAAATGTCAAACTGTCATATTTGTAGATGACATGATTATATAGAAAACCTAAAAGACTCCACAAAAAAATTGTTAGAACTGACACAGGAATTCGGTAAAGTAGCAAGATACAAACTCAACATACAGAAATCTGTTGCATATATATACACCAATAATGAAGCAGCAGAAAAAGAAATCAAGGAATCAATTCTATTTGCAATTGCATCAAAAACCATGATACCCAGGAATAAACCGAAACACAAAGATGAAAGACTTGTACTCTTAAAACTATAAAACACTGATGAAAAAAATTGAGGATGACAGAAAGAAATCGAAAACATTCCATAGTCATGGATTGGAGGAATAAATATTGTTAAAATGTCTATATTACCCAAAGCAATCTACACATTTAGTGCAATCCTTATCAAAATATCAACAGCATTTTTCACAGAGCTAGAACAAGCAATCTTAAAATTAGTATGGAACCACGAAAAACCCTGAATAGCCAAAGTAATCTTGAAAAAGAAAGAACAAAGCTGGAGATATCACAATTCCAGACTTCAAGTTATTACAAAACTGTTGTGATCAAGATAGTATGGTACTGACACAAAAATAGACAGATCGATGAAACAGAATAGAAAACCCATAAAAGAACACACAACTATATAGTCAACTAATCTTCAACAAAGCAGGAAAGAATATCGAAAGGAAAAAAAGACAGTCTCTTCAACAGTTGGCATTGGGAAAACTGGACAGTAATGTTTAAAAGAATGAAGCTAGGCCACTTACACCATACACAAAAATCAGATGAATACTGGTGGGTGACTGAATAGTTGTCACAATTGCAGCAGTTGTGGGTATGTGTCTTCTTCATAGGAAGAGAGCAGCACAACTTTCACACTTGATTTGTGCTGCTGATCTGCATTCTTGTCTATATTAATTACTAATGGTAATGTTGATTAAACATGGTTTTTACATGAAAAAGATAAAACATTCTTTTACATTAAACTGAGGGTATATTGATTATCTAGGCATCCGTTAGTACATCCTGGTGGTACATGATAATGATGACATTTTGCTAAAGGTACATGGTGAACAGAAAGTGTCAAGTTCTATTAATGCCTTAGAAAGCATGCATTCCAATGAGTGAGAAACAAATCCCACCGAGATCTGGTAAGGACTTCAGAATCCAAAGATCTCAGGTATTTGGAGAATTGACCTGCTGAGGCAGGATGATGGAGCACTACGATTCATTGACAGGACACTTATTTTGGTGAACAAAGTTTTATTGGAACACAGCTCGGCCATCTATTAACATATTGTCTATAGCTATTTTCAAGCCAGAACAGCAGAGTTTAATAGCTCTGTCAGAGAACATGTAGCCTACAGTCGTAAAATATTTACCATGTGTTATTTTAAGAAAAAACTTTCTGGACTCTGCTATATGATAGAGGACAATTAGTAGTACCTGATGTTCCCTACCTCTTTTAAAAATCCAAAGCATTTAGAGGACCTCTTTGAAAATTAGAGACAGCATCCAACATTTTCTGACACATGATCCATTTGTCAGGAGACCTAAAAAGTTCCAAGTTGTAGAAGGAGCTCAAAGCAAGAGTGGGCCCCACAGCAGTTTCAGGCTGTGGGACTCTCTTGTCATTTGGCAGAGAATACAAAGATAAATCTAGAAATTTTACTTTGATGAATAATTGTGCCTTATGGCATCTCTGATTAACCTTGTTAGAAAAACTAGAAGACAGAACCACATAGAGTTTTAGGACAATTGAAACTATTAGCTCATTCAAAGCCAGCGGCTGCCAAGTTACTGGAACCAGTAAAGACTGAAATATGACTTTGATAAATGAAGGGAATATGGAGTTAGAAGTATCCATCATGACCTGGATGTTATCTGATCTAATGATTCACAAGATTAACTAGGCATAGTGACATCCATAATACGATCTAAAAGGAATAGTGGTATCAGGCCTATGTCTATCCAGAATACCACGTTTCCTCTGATATGCTTTCAAACGCTGTCCTTAGCCTCATTGCTTCCATGACTCCAGCTGATGAAAAGAATGAGATTCTCTATCTTGGTTCAGAAGTGGTATGATATATGTATGTGAGCCAAAAATGGGGTGGTAGGTTGGTGCCAGTCTTCTCATATTTTTATCCTCCATGAACTTGTGGTATAGCTAGCTCATAATTTTCACATGATAATGGCAGAACCACAAAAATAAAAATATTATTGCATAAGAAAATTTCAATTATTGGCTCTTTTCTCATCCACTAATTTAATTGACCAAAAAAGTCACATAAAAAAACGAATACCATGAGGCAAGGAAATATAAACATTACTCATCAAGAGAGTTTTACCCCCTATGGTCTTTGTTGAAAATGATAAGTATTACAGTTTAACATTACACTTCCCTGAGGTGGGGCTACCCGTTGGATAACACAGGAGTCAGGACTTTTTAAAAAAATATGGGAAATGAGATGAGATACACTTAGGGAGATTTGAAAATCTCTGAAACATTACTGGGGATCTAGGATGCCATGTAAACATGGAAGGTCATCTTCATACACTTTAAATACCTAAACAAGCCTTAATCTGTCACCAGTTTGTTACCTTGAGGCTCTGTCAAAGTAGGCAGTCAGTGTCCTAGAAAAATTATAAGCTGCCAAAGTGTTGAAAGTATGACCCAATGCACACACAGAGCCCCTTGATGAAAGGGGAGGGACTTACTGGCTGAAGGCATTTAACAAAATTTCTGTTCTATCATTAGCTGACTTGTAAACTAACTGAACAGATTTCAGCATCAGCACATAGTAAAGGATAGAGACATTGCAGAATATGTCTGCAAAAGTCATTAAGTGAAACAGAAACAACCACAATCCCCCAAAATGAAAGGAATCAGAATTTCACAATTGTCCCATTATATCATTTAAAATGCCTACCTTTTGAAAGTTTATGTAAGTAAATTATAGCTAAAACTTTCCTAATCTGGAAAAGGACATAGACATCAAAATCCAAGAAGCACAGAGAACCCCCATTAGATTCAACAAAAACTAACCACCATCAAAGCATATCATAGTAAGATCAAAAAATACACAGACAAGGCAATAATTATGAAAGCAGCAAGGGGGAAAAAAAGTCCATAACCCATAAGAGAAGACAGACCAGGTTCACAGTAGACCTATCTGCAGAAACTTGGCAAACCAGAAAGAAGTGGCAGGATATATTGAACGTGCTGAATCAGAAAAATATGCAGCCAAGAATTCTTAATCCAGAAAGGATGGCATTCAAAACAGAAGGAGAGACAGTTTCCTAGACAAACAAAAATAAAGGAGTTTGTGACCACTAAATCAGCCATGCAAGAAATTTTAAGGGGGGCTCTTTGAGTGGAGAAAAGATAAAACAGAACAAAACAGACCAAAACCAACAAAGCCTAGAAAGGAGCAGAGAATATCATTAGAAACACCAAGTCTACAGGGAATACAGTGGCACTAAATTCATATCTTTCTAAACTCTCTCTAAATGTAAATGAACAACTCAGGTCATGATCTCATGGTTCATGGATTCAAGTCTCACTCTGGCTCCGTGCTGACAGCCCAAAGACTGGAGTCGTCTTCGGATTCTATGTCTCCTTCTCTGACCCTTCTATGCTCCCTCTCTCTCTCAAAAATATATAAACATTTAAGAATTAAATTTAAAAAAAAAAACAAGAAAACAAGACCCATCTATATGCTGCTTACAAGAGACTTATTTTAGACTTAAAGACACCTGCAGATTTAAAGTAAGGGGATGGAGAACAATCTATCATGCTAATGGTCAACAAAATAAAGCTAGACTAGTCATACTTATATCAAACAAATTTGATTTTAAAATATAAAAATAAAAAGAGATGAAGCAGGGAATTATATCATGATTAAGGGTCTATATACCAAGAAGACCTAACAATTGTAAATATATATGCTCCCAGCATGGAACACCCAAATATAGAAATAAATTAATCTCAAACACAAAGAAACTCATTGATAATAATAACATGATAGTAGGGGACTTCAACACCCCACTTACAGCAATAGACAGATCATGTAAACAGAAAATCAACAAAAAAACAATGGTTTTTAATGACACATTGGACTGGATGGGCTTAACAGATATACTCAGAACATTTCCTCCTAAAGCAGTGGACATGGAATATTCTCCAGAATAGATCACATACTGACACAAAAATGAGCCCTCAAGTACAAAAATATCGAGTTCATACCATGCATATTTTCAGACCACAATGCTATGAAATTCAAAATCAATCACAAGAAAAAAATTGGAAAGTCCAAGAATACTTGGAGATTAAAGAACAGCCTACTAAAGAATGAATGGATTAGCCAAAAAAATTAAAGAGGAAAATAAAAAGTACATGAAAGCCAGTGAAAATGGTAACACGACAGTCCAAAAAACTCTGGGATGCATCAAAGGCATAAAAGGGAAATATTTAGCAATCCAGACTTTCCTAATGAAGTAAAAAAGGTCTCAAATACACAATCTAACCTTTATACCTAAAAACCTGGAGAAAGAAACAGCAAATAAAAACCAAAACCAGCAGAAGAAGGGAAATAATAATGATTAGAGCAGAAAGCAACAATAATGAAATTTAAAAAAAAAACCCAAAGAGTAGAAGAGATCAATCAACCAGGAGCTGGTTCTTTGAAAGAATTAATAAAATTAATAAAACCCTAGTCAGATTGATCAAAAAGAAAAAGGATGGGGGGCGCCTGGGTGGCTTAGTCGGTTAAGCGTCCGACTTTCGCTTAGGTCATGATCTCGCGGTTTGTGGGTTCGAGCCCCGCGTCGGGCTCTGTGCTGACTGCCAGCTCAGAACCTGGAGCCTGTTTCAGTCTGTGACACCCTCTCTCTCTGACCCTCCCCTGCTCACGCTGTCTCTCTCTCTCTCTCTCTCCTAGAAATAAATAAAAATATTAAAAAAAAAAAAAAAAGAAAAAGGAAAGGATCCAAATAAATAAAGTCAGGTATGAAAGAGGAGACGTCACAACCAGCACCACAGACACACAAATAAGAGAATTTTATGAAAAATTAAATCCCAAAATCTGGGCTATGTGGAAGAAGTGGACAAATTCCTAGAAACATATAAACCACCAAAACTGACATAGGGAAAAATCGAAAATTTGAATAGGCCCATAGCCAATAAATTGAATCAGTAATCAAATAAATCCCAAAAAACTAGTCCAAGGACAGATGGCTTTCCATAAGAATTCAACTAACATTTAAAGAAGAGTTGACACATTCTTTTTAAGCTGTTCCAAAAAATAGCAGTGGAAGAAAAGCTTTCAAACTCATTCTATGAGGCCATTGTTCCAAAACTAGACAAAGACCTCACTAAAAAGGAGAGTTACAGACCTATTTCGCAGATGAACCTGGATGCAAAAATTCTCAACAAGATACTAGCAAACTAGATCTGACAATACATTAAAAAAATTATTCACCATGATCAAGTGGGCTTTATTCCTGGGATTCAGGGCTGGTTCAATAGTGGCAAAGAGCAGAAGAGATCAATCAACCAGGAGCTGGTTCTTTGAAAGACCATTGGATCCTCTTAATAAATGCAGAAAAAGCATTTGACAAAACACAGCCTCCTTTATTGATAAAAACTCTCAAGAAAGTAGGGATAGGAGGATCATATGTCAAAAGCATAAAGGCCATATATGAAAGACCCACTGCTAATATCACCCTCAATGGGGAAAAACTAAGAACTTTCCCTCTAAGGTAAGGAACATGAGAGGGATATCCACTCTCACCACTGTTATTCAACATACAACTTGGAAGTTCTAGCCTCAACAATCAGACAATACAAAGAAATAAAAGACATCCAAACTGGCAAGCAAGAAGTCCAACTTTCACTCTTTGTGGATGACATGGTAACCTATGTGGAAAACCCAAAAGACTCCACTAAAAAACTGCTAGAACTGATCCATGAATTCAGCAAAGTCACAGGATATAAAATCAATGTACAGATATCAGTTGCATTTCTATACACCAATAATGAAGCAACAGAAAGAGAAATTAAGGAATCAATCCCATTTATAAATGCATCAAAAACCACAAAATACCTATGAATAAACCTAACCAAAGTAGTGAAAAATCGGTACACTGAAATTTATAGAAAGCTTATGAAGAAATTGAAGAAGACACACAAAAAATGGAAAAACATTCCATGCTCATGAATTGGAAGAACAAATATTGTTAAAAAGCCTATATTACCCAAAGCAATCTACATATTCAATGCAATCCTTATCAAAGTAACACCAGCATTCTTTACAGAGCTAGAACAAAGAATCCTAAAATTTGTATGAAACCAGAAATGATCTGGAATAGCCAAAGCAATCCTGAAAAGAAAAACAAAGCTGGAGGCATCATAATTCCAGACTTCAAGCTGTATTACAAAGATGTAATCATCAATATAGTATTGTACTGGCACAAAAAAAGGCACTTAAATCGATGGAACAGAATAGGGAACCCATAAATGGACCCACCAATGTATGTCCAACTAATCTTTGACAAAGAAGGAAAGAATATTCAATGAAATAAAGACAGTCTCTTCAGCAAATAGTGTTGGGAAAGCTGGATAGAGACATGCAGAAGAATGAACCTTTACCATTTTCATATATCATACACAAAAATAAACTCAAAAAGGAAGAGAGACCTAAATGTAAGACAGTAAA